CAACTAACCATCGCTCTGCCCCCCAGCTGCTGCCACTCTGCCTGGCCCTGAGGCTCAGGAGGACACGGCCGTAATGTGAGGAAAAAGCGTGTAATAAAAATGACGTGATGAAAACAAGACATGGGCAGGAGGTTGTGGACAGCATCAGCAGCCAGGCTGGCCCCGGCCGACCCTGGGCTCACACACCCAGGCAGAGCTGTGGGGCTCCGAGCTGGTGCGTCAGGAGCAGGAAAGGGTCACCAGAGTGTGTGAGACGACATGCTGGGCCAGGCCAACACGAATAAATCAAAGCAGGCACAAGCAGAGGCTGTGCTGAGCTGTTCCTGGTCTCTGACACACAATCTCTGCTACAGTCACTGGACCCCAGCTGTCTCACACCTGGCAGAGCCCTTTAAAAAAAAAAACACCAAAAAAACCACAAACAAACCCCACAGCTTTGATTTCAGCTTCTTGTCGCTTTTCATCCTGCTGAGCTCCCACCAAGGTAGCCCAGGCCAATCTGTGGCTGCAGGGAGCCCAGGCTCACTCCCAAAAGCTCCAGGGGAAGCCCTGTTCCCAGCACCCCCAGCCGCCCATGCTCCCCCTCCTGCAGGGCGCGGAGGCTGCTGCAGGCAGGGCAGCACACAGCGAGCTCGGACAGGGCGAGACCGCTTCTCTTGGGGGGATTTTGCTTCCCTCTGCACCAGGTGTCCAGCAACATGCTGGTGTTTTAACAGCTCCCCTCTGAGACACCCCCGTCTAAACACACGGTCAATCGGGCTCTGCTCTTTAATGTGCTATTTCCTCCAGCGTTGCAATGCCCACCCTCCAACGCGATACAGCACTGCTTTAAAAACCTGTTTACACACATCCCAGCGTCACCCCCTGCTTCATCCCAAGGAGCAAGGCCTTGACTGGCACCAAGCACCAACCAAGGGAAGTCTCTTGCAGCCTTTCTAGTGGAATGGCAGCAATGACAGAGGGGAACTTTGCTACTGTGATGGTTTGGGATCGGTGTCGGTCACATCCCTAATGAAATAACAGCATGGAGATGAGAGACAGCATGAATCGATCTCCCCAGCCAGGGCTAGAAGTGCTTCATCTGGCGGCGTTCTTGGCGGCGTTGCTTCTTCTCGTTCAGTTCCTGACCGGCGGGCGAAGAGTCGGCTGTAAACCAGGGCCCCAGGATGTTCACCCACAGGAGGTAGAAAGCACGCCCCGGAGCCTGCAAAACATGGGTGGAACAACCTCGGTCGCTTTGTGGACAGCTCTGTCAGGGCTGGTCCTACTGAGGGAGCCAAAGGAGCTGGAATATCTCTCCAGGCTGGATCAGGGGCATCACAGGATGCACGGAAATCAAAGGCGATGGCAGGTGTCCAAAATAAATTCATACGGGTTAGGAACTTGCATACGTATGCAGCACTTCAGCTTTGGAAATCTCAGCATCAGGTCTGAATTACCCAGAAAGATCCAACTGCCCAGACTTTCTGCCTCTCCCTCCTTCAGAACAAACACCCACGTTTCTCTAAATGAAAACAAATGTGAGCTGGAGGACAGGGGACAGGCAGAGTCTCGGCTGCCCTCTGCCAGAACCAGCTAAAATGAACTTGTGAGCAAGGACTGAAATGAGGTAACTTTCTGTGCTCCCAAGATTGCTTTACAGACCTTCGTGGGATATACTTCAAATAACTGTGGTATTTTTTTTTAACTAACTGGAGATTTTTTGTCCTTTTTGCAAAAGCAGTTTTAGCTGGAGACACATGACAGAAGTCTCAGGAGCAGAAAGCATCTGGTGTGTCAGGGGGAAATCAAAGCCTACAGCGTTCCATCTACCAAGCGGGGCAGAGTCCGGCAGTTCCCAGCCTCAGTCCGTGCTGGTGAATGACTGGGAAAACCAAACAAGAAGAAACACAGTCTGTTTGTCACAGTCACAAAAAAAGCGCTAGGGACAAAGGTGGCTTTGAGCTGCCTCGTGTTTCTTGTTGCCCTTTCACAGGACCAGAGAGAACGGCCAAAGCCAGCCTAGTTTTTGTGTGGTTGACACCAAGGGATCAGGACTTCTTTCCCTTGTATGGCCTCATTTTTAAAAAGATTCGACAGGGAGATTAAAAAATGTATCAGAAAACGGTTCTGGCCTGAAACAGGACACTATGAAATGAAATGGATAAATAACTTGGTCCTGAAGACAGAGAAAGATGGGGGCAACACAGGAGCGAGAAGGAAACCCAGGGGCTTACCAAGAGCCAGAAGTACCAGATGTAGAGCGAGAAGCAGCTCAGCACTTGGACTATGGCTGTCAGCAGGATCACATCCTTCAGGTGCCTGAGGGAAGCAAAGCAGAACGTTAACCTTCCCTGCCAGCCCCTGCCAACGCAGCAGCTCCTCTGCTGCCACAGCCCATCCGCACCGCCTCGTGGAGCGACCCTGCCCAGCCCCGCCAAAGGACTCTCCCTGCAGCTCCCTTCTGCTGCGCAAGGGAATCTAGAAGGAATCCAAGCAGTAAACAAGAAAAAAATAAATCTGATGAGTTAAAGAGGGGCAGTTCCCTCTGAAAAGGGACATTGAGAAAGCTGAGGAATGTGGCGGGGGCGGAAACTGGCAGCAAAACCACCGCCCCCCATAGCCAGCGCCCACCGATTTGATACGGATCATGGCACAAAGCACAGCCGCTGACAGCCGGCTCAGGGCAGCAGATCTTCCCTCGGCCATCGCACAGGCCAACAGACACACCCCGGGTCACCAAGGGGCTGGGTTGACACAAGGACAAGCCCACTGTCACCTAACTGTACCCAAAAGGGCGAGGTAAGTTAGCCATTCCCTGCCTGCCTGAGGCAGAGCCGAGAGCAGCTCCGGAGGGGAACAAGCTGCCCGCACCTCGACCACCACCCTCGGGGGGACCTGCCGCCCCAGAGCGGCAGATGGGTGTCAGTTTTTCAACACAAGCCACAGGGAGTGCCGCGATGGGTTAGAAAAACACCAGCTCCTTCCCTCCCATCATCTGCTGGAGTAAGAAACACTTGAGTCACATCCAAGAATGGAATCAAGGAAACAAAGGCCGAGGTAACAGTGAAAGAGCTTCTCTGGTTCTGGGCAGCACAGCACGAAATAAAGCGACATTAGGTATCCGTCACTGGAAACAACTGGTTTTAAGCTGGGACATCACAATGGACTCGAGATGCTGCAGAATCCACCATCAGCAGCCCCACAATTGGATGGATGCTGAGATTCAGAGATCTCGTGCATCACCAGAGGCTGCAGCGGGCTCCCAGCAGAGCTCCCGCCAAAGCCAGCTCTCCCAGGGACCAGCAGGATCTGCCGTCCTCCACCCCACAGCTGCACGAGGGAAACACCGTCAGATCCGCAGCCTTCTGGAAGCAGCCCCAAAAGAGCCCATGCTAGTAGCTGCAGCACACTAAGCCGAGAGGCAGGGAAAAACTCCCCGCTTTTTGCA